TATAAACTGATTTAAAAGCGTAAACCTACTTACTTTCAAACCCCCACTTTTGATGTTAATAGATCCCTAAGAATATGACAACATACCTTAGTGTAGCAATAGCATCAATTGCTTTATATTGATGCTTCATGAATGGCATATTTTACTATAATTCTTCAATTTTAGTCAAGCCTCTTCACATGTAGCTTACTATATAATTAAAAAATGAAACTTTGAGCAATACTTTACAAAACGTATATACAACCTCACTTTAAAACCAAACATAACCCTCCTCAATCTACATAAAGCGTCACAAACATTTTACGAGTAAATAAACAAACAACATGACCAGCTGATTAACTAAATTAAATTAAATCATTTAAACATTGGAAGCATGCCAGGCTTAGCCCTTTGGAAATCAGCCTGTGGGGCAGAGCCCTTAGGCAATTCGTCCATATCAATACTTTTCGGCAAATCTACACACTCTAAGCTTCATTTTGATGTGCCATATGCCTATATTTTTATTTGGTAAATAACCTTAACCGTTTACATAAAATTTGATTGTATCGTTTTAATAAAATGACCATCCCAATCTTTGTACTAATATTTCTTTTCTAGTCAATTAATTTGTGTTTAATGTGTTTTAATTATTTTAAAATATCGGTCAACCAGAAACTTAGCCACTGACGACTCAGCCAATCGAACCAGCATCCGTTGCAAGAACGTGGTCGAACCTCTAATCACTAGGATCATGAGGTGGTATGGTCATCATTGTATCAGTGGTAAGTTCATACCGTACTGATTGACACTGATTACATAGTCGACGAGGGTAGTCTACATTTAGAAACGCCAAAACTCCAGCGAGAGTCTAATCACAAAATGTCTTCTAACAAAGTATTTTTCCATAAAAAATGTAAACACTGCATTTGTATGACTTTTATACTGTATTTAGGTTAATTGTTAGGACGTAGTTTAACAAAATATCATGTATATATTTTAATATTTTCATTTAAATTTACGACGGGAAAATTTCAAGCACGGAATCACAGTAGAGAAACCTAGCTGCGGTTGGTGGAACTATCAGCACGGCGTACTGCATTACCTACGTGTACTGCGTTACCTACGTGTACTGCGTTACCTACGTGTGTTGTGTTATCGACTTGCTTTTATTGACCTAGGAGTTATAACCTTATGAGTACTCATATTTAAATGGAATAAATGAATCTTAAGAGCTGTAGTCCAGTAAAATAAGACATTTTGGTATGCAAAAGGTCGGGTAGTTCTGATTTTTGGATATGTTGTTAGTATTGGGCCCATAACATAAAATCCAAGTTATCCACCTCGAGATACTGCCGCCTGCCACGGGGCGCGCCACTTGTTATCGAAATATCAAAAATATGGCAATTCCTAGTGTTTTTCACTCAATCTCGCGAACCGTTGATTTTACCGAAAATTTTATACTATTACATTAAAGAAGAATAAATTTGTGACAGTTTAAGCCCAACAGCAAGTATGTAGCGTAAATAATGGTCAAAATACAGACCATCAAAATAAATAAATTTTCCAAAAACGTATACAAATTGTGGTTTTTTCAATATTTCCACATTATAGTTGTTTGAAGCAAACACCATATTGATTTAGAGAGTATGCCAGTTTATTTGCTATTAATAGAAAATAAATGAAAGTATGAATAAAAATACCCCCACCTCAGCAAACCTGCAGACTAAGCGAATTTCCATTTGCTTGATTTGATTTTCACAAACCTATTTAAATGACATTAGGTTTAACTGGTACCTAGGTTTGCAGCTACAGGGAGGGTAATATAGTATATAAAATAATAATAGTATGATAACAAACAAATAAATTTACCCAATTTTATAAAAATGTGTTTATGAATAAGGAAAAAACAATAATTAAAAATCTTCGCTATTAGAATAACTTGAGGTTTTTTAATTTACATTTTTTAATTTTCTCCGTAACCAATAACAGTAAAAAAACATATTTATGTACTAAATTATTTGTTTTTAGTAGCTCTACAAAATTATTTTATGATACAATTGTAAAATTATATGTTTTGAGGGTTAAAAATTAAAAAAAATATATTCTTACCGGCAAAATACCTTTAAGGCAACCGTTCCTATGGCCTTATCATGCCGATCATGCTTCGCGAACTCGTTTTAATAAATAAATGTACGTTTACATGATTCAATGATTTATTTAGGCCATTAAGCAAAAGAAATAGGCTAAGTCGCATACAATACAAAGTAAATGATAAATAGTCCATCTCTTGATTCACAAATAAAAGTAATGTTTGTACCAAATTCCACTAAATCTGATGATTTTTGGGAATCATCGTGCTAACAGACGATAATGACTTTTTTGGATACAGTTTAGTAAAATCTTTAGTTTTTTTTGGATACAGGGTCTCTAAAAAACTCACCTACCTAGTTTGAAAATTTATTTATTTATTGTACTAGATACAAACTACGTACTGTTCAACGACTGATACCATAGAGAAGGCTATGCTGATACATTAAATGAAAGGTAATAAAATAAAAGTTATTTTAACGCTATCACACCTCAATATGCGAACCATTTGTAGCTCTGCAGACATGCAAGCTATTTTTACTCATTTTTATCATTAATATTTTATTATTTGTATTATAATTTATTACCAAAACTATGTTCAAGGTCAAATAGGTGAACGCAACTTATTGCCAACGTACAAAACTAAAACTTTGAAGTATACTCTACACAGCACGAAATGATAATTACTCATCCATTTGAACAATAGTATCGTGAGGTATTTTTAAAACTATGGAGTCTTTTTCGGACACCCGTATAGGCCTATATACATATATATTTATATATGTTAGAACAATTTGAACCAACATTATTTTTGGCCTCTAGGAATACCAAAATGAAAAAGTAAATCGGTCCCGGGTCTAGGTCTTACCATGAGACCTACTGTAATGGCGTATTCCCTATAAGGGAAATTTGCTAATAATCAGCATATAATTTATATTGAATGGTGTGTGTTGAGGAAACCACTATTTAATCTTTTCATCAATTTCGTTGTCTCGAGCAATGCGAGAATAGCGCACGTCAACATGTTGCTCACTGTTAATGTTCAACTGACGTCATTTTTTATAATATTTCTCAATTTCCTACAGATTTGATGAGGACGGATCATCCCAAGCGCCTATCAAGTTACATCATTTTGTCTGTTATCCCTCGTCCTCGAGTCAATCCACCAGAGCTTTTTTCTTTATGAGAGCCTGTTCGATGGCCTAATCAGACCAAATTCCACACCAGAACTTGTCTGTACGTCTTGTAGTGAAATTTCCGATCTTTGTGAATTTTTGTGTTCTTCAATATCAATCCTGTATTTAAATTCATATTCAGCATTACCTGTATAGATGGGCACACTTGGCGTGGAAAAATTACCCGCTGCATGGAAGATCTGTAGAGTGATTGTAATTGGAAGATCTTATTTGTAAACCTACATTTATTAAAACGAGTTCGCGAAGCCTGATCAGGCCATGGGAACGGTTGCTTTATAGGGTCTTTTGTTAAGAACGGGGTTTTCGTATTTTTTACCCTCAAAACATACAATTTTAATTATTGTTTTTTCCTTATAGACACATTGTTATAAAACTGGTTACATTTATTTGTTTCTTATCATACTATTATTATTTTATATACTATATTACGCTCCCTGTAGCAGCAAATCTAGGTACCAGTTAAACCTAATGTTATTTAAATAGGTTTGTGAAAATCAAATCAAGCAAATTGAAATTCGCTTAGTCTGCAGGTTTGCTGAGGTGGGGGTATTTTTATTCATACTTTCATTTATTTTCTATTAATAGCAAATAAACTGGCATACTCTCTAAATCAATACGGTGTTTGCTTCAAACAACTATATTGTGGAAATATTGAAAAAACCACAATTTGTATACGTTTTTGGAAAGTTTATTTATTTTGATGGTCTGTATTTTGACCATTATTTACGCTACATACTTGCTGTTGGGCTTAAACTGTCACAAATGTATTCTTCTTTAATGTAATAGTATAAAATTTTCGGTAAAATCAACGGTTCGCGAGATTGAGTGAAAAACAATAGGAATTGCCATATTTTTGATATTTCGATAACAAGTGGCGCGCCCCGCGGCGAGCGGCAGTATCTCGAGGTGGATAACTTGGATTTTATGTTATGGGCCCAATACTAACAACATATCCAAAAATCAGAACTACCCGACCTTTTGCACAGCAACCCCATATTTTCTGACAGATTTACTGGACTACTGTTTCAATTAAACAAGTTGGTTCTGTTCTATGATGTTCAATAGCATTAAAGTTACAAGGATTACCAACAGGGTGCAGCACTATTATTTCTTTTAAATTTATGACAACAGCTAATTTGCAACCAAAAGGTGAGTGAGCGTAGCGAACGAACTTCAACCTGGAGGCGAGTTAGCGTAGCGAACGAGCTAACCTGAAGGCAAGTGAGCGCAGCGAACGAGCTCCAACCTAAAAGTGAGTGAGCGTAGCGAACGAACTTCAACCAGGACGTGATTGAGCCATGCGAACGAGCTCACTTATGAAGTTAAACGGGGCAAAGCCCGCGGGTACAGCTAGTATATATTATATAATCAGAGGAAATGCTGTAACAAATATGATATAACCTTTAACCACCGATTTAAAGGTCTTAAAAATGGGGAATTATAAAAATCAATGTAAAAACTAAAGTATGTAATTTTAGAATTTTTTTATTTTCCCCTTTTTTAAAGATGATATCTAGCATCTTAACTTCGAGGTTCGATATTTTACCTATAGGAATTACAGAGATAAAACTGTGCTCAACTTTATTTCAAGACTTATTTAGATAAAAAAATTGTCTATGGCCAAAATGAAAAATCCATCTCTATAGTAAAATAAAGTCAATAGGGATAAATAGAAACAATATTTGAACAAAAACATTGCAATTTATTTAAAACAATAGTGAAAATACATGGCACAACATCTTTATTTGCTAATACAGCACCAGATTAACTAACATCTTTTAGCTTACTTTACAAAAATATAATACAGAAAAATGCAGAATTTTACTGTTATACTATAAAGCTAATACTGATTGTGGCTGAAGAATGGAAACAAAGATTTCTCAATAACAATTTAGAAACATAATTGTACGTTTCTAGAGCAGATATGTGCAAACCATGACTATACGATTCCAGTACAATAGCATCACATTATTACTTAAGGAACTGATTTATAAACATTTAAGAGAACTTATAAAATAATTGGAATATCTTACAGTCAGTCTGTATTGTGATGTTTTATTTTCAAATCAACTAGCTGGAAAATATTTTATTTATAATTTGGATTTGGCTGGCAGAAAATTAGATTTTAATTTTGAGGTTTCCAACAGATTTAGGCATGACTACCCTAAACAGCATTTTTAAAGATAAGTTAAAAAATCCTAACAAAGCAATAATCTAAACTTCACTATGTCTCAATCGATTCAGATTTTTGACTCTATACCAAGCTTTTAAATAACAGACCTAATTTTGAAGGCTATAATCAGGTCAAAATCTATTTTACGCCTATCGATAGGCAAGTATAACGACAAAGTCATTAATTTAATTTTACTCGTTGGAAACCTACTGTAAAAACTATATGCTTTGATAAGAAAATAAGGCACATTTAGAAAGATTTTTAATCTAAATCTAATGAAGTCTATGGCAAAATATATTATCAAAACAGACAGTTGGAATGTTTTCTTTTTATAGGTCAAAACTTTGTACCACTACTGGATTTGAAAAATAAAATATCGTCTTAATATTGTGATAAACACAGTGATGTGTTTACAATTTTTTTTTACATGTTATAGTAGATAAGTTTTATTGCAAAATAATTTTAAAGAGATGGTGATGAACTAATTAAACTTAGATTACGGTATTCTTAAAAAGCAAAAATTATTTAGTAAAATGCAACTGACATAAAACTGAAATAAATACTTGTTTAAGCAATTGACTTACAAAAGTCTTACATTCTTATAAGGCTTGGGTCGAGTTAAAAGAAAGTATAGGGAAAGGGAGAGAGCAAGAACAAACTAGAGAGCTAGACGAAGAAGATAGAGAGAAAGTTAAAGGAAGAGATAATACACAATTTCACTGTTTCCAAGTCAACTATGAATATTCTATTTTTAAGAAAATAGTCAATACTTATATAAATAAATGCATTCGGTGGTAATTAAGTCATTGTAGATACTCTAGTCCATTCAATCTTAGTCCTACATGTGTCATAACTATTAGGGACAGGGTGATAGAAATTGCCAATAAAAACACTTGAATAAAAACAAATCTACAGGAAAACCATTGGTAAATAGGCTGAAAAAATACAACTTTTGATGGACGGAATAGCTACGGAATATTGCTAAAATATCTAACGAGTAACGACATATAAATTGAAAAAAACTTAACAGTCTTTAACATCAGGAATTATCTTAAAATATATCAGGTCTCTGCATTGATACAACTTAAAAATTATATCGTGGCAAGAACAATACAGCAAAAATCACACATTTTCACAACAAAACAAACCACAGTTCAAAGCCTACTTTGGCATTTTTTGGGTGCACGGAAAACCACAATTTGTGCGTCACCAGTGAAAAAAACTTCTTTGGCAGTTTAGATTAGTGTAGACTGTCGGGTACATTAGAAGTAACTCTTGAAAAGCCACAGAAATGCGTAATGCCACAGTCCAGGTTTGTACTGTTGACAACAGGCGATTCCTTGTGTGAACGGAACTCCGTGTTGGTAAAGTCGACCTTTTTCCTCGGCCAGACGTTTGCGTAGACCTCGGTTGGACGTAACCATCACAAACTGACACTCCAAGTCCCGAGATACCGACCTGCAATCTGGATAACAAGTTGTAAGATGATTAATGTATACAATTAATGTGTCAACTTCAAAAATAAGTTCTTTTCTTATTTAACATATTCTTACACGCTTGGTGTAAAATGTTGTCTTTACCTCTCTAATACAGTCCTAATTATACCTTAACTAATTGCGGCAAAACCAGATGACCCAAAAGGTCATATAATATTAACAATTACTGGAAAATAATAACAAAAATAACAACAAATAATAACAACAAACTAACATGAAAAACAATAACAATTACTGTAAAAACTGAATATTTTTTTTTTAATTTTCAAAATACATTCTTTCGAGTAATCGAGTAAAAAGCACATCAAACTTCAAACTAGTTCAAAGTCATCATAACATTAAACTCCAACAAAGTGAATACTAGACGAAATACCACTACTAAAACAGTAAAATAAAAGATAAAGCGATAAACGTCCACTCTGCTTTTGACAGAAAAGGATAGCGGTGAGGTATGCAATTTATGACTGCACAACTCTAAATGAAGTAATGGAACCATGACAAGGGGCAGACACCTTCATAGACATAGGGGGGGGGGGAGGAGCTCATAGACAGGATGCTGCAGTTCATCAAGCAACTCAGATTTGCGTGGAGCTAAAAAAGCCTGCATGTGGCTGACATGCATAGGTTGAGAAAATCCTTTTTTATACTGCATATGCATCATGAAAAATACCGTTTTACCTCAAACACGTTTCTCTTTTAATCCCGAGTCATTTATTAATTAAACGTATCATGTTTTGGTTTAGTTTTTGTGATGTGTCAGACATCTCCTTCTATTCTGTGTTTGTACCTTACCAGTTAAAGCTACTAAGTCGAGCAAAGTACTCACTGAAATTTGAAGATCCTACAATAGTCATGAATGGATCATCGTCGTCAGAAGTCGTACACCAAATGCCTTTGGAATGGAATGAACTCTCCGACCTCACAAATTCTTCAATTTCAAACCTCTCTGTTTGCTTTGCGCTCTTGACTTGTTGCAGAAATGTGTTTGAAAACGCAGAGTAGAAAAAAGGGATCTGACCGACCACCCCTCTCGCTCCATAGAAGTCATTGGCCTGAGAAAAATATATATATTTTTTAAATAAAAATAGTACCTAGAAGGTAATGAAAAATAGGCAATGAAAAAAAATTAATAATAAAATCTAGAAGGTATCATATCAATTTGAAAAGAGAACTTTCTTTGGCGAGTTGAAAAACTAATTTAACCATAGGCTAACCATTTCAAATATACACAATACACCTATCCCTAGGTATATTGAGTGGATTTTACGGCTAAAGTTAATTCCTCTCAATAAGTAAGCAACATCCATTCTTATTTCTATCTTAACATCCCATTATTTCAGTAGTACAAATCTTAATCAGTCACTGCTTGGTAGTTGTGGTAAATAATTGCCAGTTTCATAAAATCTTACCAAATTATGGGCGCTCATGTCAAAAAGACGTGGCGTTTCCAATCAACTTAGTTGTGAATTTAAATCTTGTAGAAAATATAATGTAAGGAATCTCAAAATAAATATTATGTTACGTGTAATCAAGATCGTTTTCTAAGTTTCTTAACACTATAAGTACGGTAACACAGAAAAATCAAGATGGCAAACAGACAAATGTATTTATCAAGGCAAAACTTTATGAGCAGGGCTACTTTTTGATAATTATAAAATAACGGCTTTGAAAATTAGGTTTACATCCAAACCAACTAACAAAGCTGGACTATACCCCATAAAATTGACATACTTCCGTTACTTGACTGCCACTATGAGTTTTAGGATGAAATGTTTGAATTTATATAGACCTAAAAGTCCTGTTTAGAGTTAGGTTGGATTGGTTTAGGTTAAGTTAGATGAATGACCCAAAACTTTAATAGTGTATCGCTCCGTCCGTTCGTTCTTGGAAAGCGATAACAAATTCCCAGCGGAGAACGAATACCACAGTAAACATAAAAATGGTTGAAGCGCAGTTTTAGAGCAAATAGAACATGGTAGTGAATTAACCGAAATGAAAAATAGGCTGATTAGTAAACAAACAAATAAGGTTCCATAAAACAATTTTGAATAGCAATCTACGCTATATGAACTCAACATTAAACTGACTCTGTATAGTTACATGACAATGTATATAAAGCATGAAATGTTCAGTATAAAAGAAGTAGGCCTACCGTAGGATGAGGGATGAGAATCCTAAAAGCATTCTTGCACTTGTTCAGTAAAAGTGTAATATACTCCTCGGGAAGGTTAAAGTAAGGACTGGAGAAATGTACAGTAACTTCTGGACTCAGGGACTGCAGTAGCGTCTGCGTGACCGAACTGTCTTGCAGAATTGACATCGGAGGAAGCTGGAGCAAAGGGAAAACCCAAGTATCGTCACCTGCAAGTAACAAGTGATAAGTAATCTGCAAGAGAATAGTTAGAGGAAGCAGATACTCAATACACATTAACAGTGGGACTCCAACTTTACAAATATCCAACTATCGGGATCGCTTACATAAAGAATTGTTAAAACCTTAACTACAATATGCACAAGGTGGGACATAAAAAAAGCACTGAAACTAAAAAGTCTTCTTGGGATAATTTCATTGGTGTTAATTGTGAGTTTTCACACCTTACAAACTTTGCATAGCAAAGCCTAATTTTGGCCTAAAGCCTTAAACATCTCACCTGGTTTTAACTGTTTGTCAGACTTTGCCAACTCCTCCAGATAGAAGCTCCAGACCAGTTGTCTTGCTTGTTTCCTGTACAGTCCAGGGGCGGGGAATGTTGACGGCTGCAGTATCGTGTTTTCTTCAGTCAGCTGCAGTGAAACGCTGCAGATCTTGTCCACTAAACCGCAGCAAAAGTCTGCGATCGGCTGACAGTCTGTGACCAACACGTACCTGTCCTGGCGATTACTGAAGTATTCCTTTGTCAGGTTGGCTCTGCAAACGGTTACAAAACTTAAACAGTGATTTATTGCACCGACTACTTTACTAATAGCCCAATGATCAAGGACAGCTGGGTTCAGTTTTGATTCGTGAACCATTAAAAAAGGTTTGATTTTTTTTTTACTCAGGATCGAACTAGTTGACAGAAACCTTATGATTACTAGGCGCCTTATGATTACTAGGCGATCACTAAATCAACTAAGCTGAATGAAGTCCCGCCTGAATAATATCTGTCACAACAAACTATGTGATATACTGGAACTGAATATTATACAGTCAGTCTGGTTTTCATCTTTAATTGGCAAAACCCCGTCTACTGTGACCTTGAAGGCCAAAAGCCATCGTTCGTTAGTAAAGTAACCAAAACTATAATCCAATTCTGCCCATTTAATTAAAACTTTTTTTAATTATTTGCTGCATTCTATCCCTGGCGTTTATAACAATCTGAGCCAAGTTTGCAACTACTATAGGCCTACTTTATTAATTAGGTTGGTAACTTAAATTAATTGGCCAGAACTTATTGTACCGGTATAGGTTGATTTCCTTACCCAGTTATTAACACATTGTCGTCAAAAACATAAAGCTTTATGTGTTGGATTCCTATGAGTTCGTTGACTTTCGGTGGACAAATCTTAGACCAAAACCAATGCAAATCCGGCGTTTGAAACAGTGAAACCTGCAAAATCAGAATATAATTCACACAATCACTTGGAATTGAATTGATTAGTTATGTTTAAAGACATTCTCAAATAGCACATTAAATGGTAGGTACTAAAGTACAAAAATTTCCAGTTGTTTAACATTTGGATAATTTCCTTTACAAAACTTTTAATTCACTCCGTTTATTTTCTAACATCTGTAGCCTATTATCATTTCGGTACGTAATCATTACATTTAACAAATCTGTTTACATAGGTTTATTTAGCCTGACACTTTAATTTTAGTTTCTTTTCTTTTTGCTTAAAAACATTTACTAAACAACAATTTGAAGTTAATTTTGTATATATTAATTATCTTTTTCTATTGTTACAACAATATCAATACAAGTCAGTTGACATGATTGATTATTGATATTTACTTTGTTTATAGAGCATTTATTCTGAACTGTCTTAATCCTATCTTATCCTGTTTATCTCAAGTTTTGGTAGAATCAGTTAATTTCATGGTCGTATAATCAGAGATGTGTCAAAAATGATAAAGTTATCACAAGGCGTGTCAGAGCCAATATCTGTTTGTTTACTGGTGTGTTTAAATAAATACACTAAAATTGATAGTAGAGCAACGTATAAAAATTGTAATAATAATGTAAGCTTGTCAAATACTACCTGTAACACTCTCACTTCGTTATTAAATGTGCACAAATGTACTGTCTTAAAACAAAAACCAAAAATAAATTTAAATACAAATTTTTTTGTTAGTCAGTCAGTGATTTTGCTCCCTTAAAAAAGATAAAATAAACAATTCTGATAAATATTGTTTGGAGATTGATTAAACCAATTTGTATTCATTTATGGATAGAAGTATTAAATTAATTTTGTTTAAGTAGAGTATTGACATGATTATCAGATTTTTGATCCTCCTACCTTCCATTTTATTTCTTACCCTCCCAGCAAACAATCAATTATTGTTAAATTCCATACTTTTGTAGGGTGTGACTGTACACCGTATTAAAATATCCAATCACACCTTTGACAGCACTAGTGAGACACGCACCATCTTCAGATGCCGGCACTTGACTGTACTTCCCCTTTGTTTTTATGTGCCCTTTCCGCTGATTAGATCTAGTCACAGCAGCTTTAGAACGGAAAACAAATACTCTACTGTAACCCAATGTCATTTTGATGTCTGTAGTCAATAGAACTACTTACGGTATTTTAATGAGTAAAATTTAATTTTTAAAATGTATATCATGTTACCATCTGATTTTAATTTAATTTTAGATCAACATTAAACCTTAAGGCTGGAACAACAAAGCCGATATAAATTTGGCAAGTTGTTAGTGCGACGGACTATCAACAGAGATGTAGTCAGTCCGCGTCCTGATGCCGATACTCAATCTTATCAGTATTGTTAATTCTACAACACTTTCATCTTGCATTGCTGGATACGTTCCAGACAGGGGCTTGAGGTCTTTGTAGACAGTTGAACGCAAGGTTAAAAGAGGCTGTCAACCTCTTAAAAGCCCCCTCAAACATTTATGTTACGAAATGTGAAGAGAAAATTATCGTAGTATACAGGATAATCTTACTTGACAATGTGAATGTTTCCGTAGCAAAGGTAACAACATAATTCTGGCACTGCAGTCTCTGGAGTCTCGCACAGCGTCGAGTAGAACAGTCAACTGTAGATTAGAGCCACGTTCTCTCAGTCTATCATCTAACACCTCGACCTGTACAAAGACGAGTTGAGTATTTAGCCTACTTGAGGAAAATGTAGTTGATTCTTCTTCGAAAGTCAGTACATGTCTACTCTACTTGTCTGTCAACGCTCGCAATGCTTACTTGTACAACTGACTCTATTTTTAAGTAAATTAGCATTAGACTTGTAGTGGCGACTCCAATGAAAATTCCGACTTCAGTCTGTAGAGTCCTTGTATCGGCAATCAGCGCCGTTGACTCGTAGTTAGAGCTTTGAGAGCTATTCAAACTCAAGTCCTCAGTACCCGACTAAGGTTACTAGTATCTAATGACTTAATTATTAGGTACGCACTTATAGTTATTACCTAGTTAGGTACTTGATGGTTTGAAAACAGGCCCAGCTCTGTCCTTTATCATTGGGCTGATAGAGGATTTCAATGAATGATGTTAACTCGGGGACACAGCTGATCTTGAGTCAGTAAGGAAGCTACACAAGGTTTCTCACTTATACCACACTCATCTTCAATTTACATTTGGGTTAGGTTAATGTGCATTAGTTCTCCCCATCTCAGCAAGTGTGATATAGTCATACAATTTCTTCTAAGATAAATTTTTATCGTAGCTTTAAAAAAAAACTATTCAATTTAGTTACTGAAATAAAAACTGAATCAGTTTTCAAAAAGACACAACAAGTATACTCAAGAATGTGTCACAAAAGTTAGGAAAGAATTCATATTTTTAATAGTATCCACAAATAATATATCAACAGTTCTTTGATAGATCTTCAGATAAAGTCACTTACCAGTTTTTTTTCCATACTGTTCATCCCAATATACAGAGCGGCTAGAGTTATGCGGTGTTTGGCATTTTGACATCCTTCAATTATAGCGCTGTAAAACTCTTCTGGGCTGAACAAAACTTTCACCTGCAAGATAAATTATGTCAAATGATTTAAAACAAGTGAAAATTAACACCATAGTTATTAATAATGAGAATTAAGTTACTGTTGGTCTTTGAGATAGAGATTAGCACACATAGACCCTAAATAGTATTTAATTTCCTCGGTTTAATGACTATAATCAATGATGTTATTTTGCTTTGTTTCAATGCTTAATTGCACAGGGTGAGTTTACAAGCTACAAGCCACTGAGTAAAAAAATCAGGCACAAGTACAACATAGGCCTACTGTACCTACCAATTATTCTGACATCATCAATCTACCAATACCGGCAATACTTTAACTTACTTGGATAGTTAACGATCTAGTTCGCTCAAAATCCAGTGAGAAGCATGATACAGTTGTTCGGAGATGAAAGTTTTTTTGGTTACCTATTTAACGAGTGAGTGGGCGAGTAGGTCTACAAATTAGAAAAGTTTCAGAGCTGCGAGTAAGAAAGCCGGCTAGTAGATTGTAGCTTGTTCTGGGCAAATCAGGCTTTTGGTTTCTGAAATTTAAATCTTGTTCACGGAATCCTCCGTCAAATCAACTATGGCAGTCTTGGCAACTAGTGTACCGGCCCCGGCCACATCTACACCCAAGAAATCCAAGGCGGCGGCTAGCAAGAAACCCCGCGATAAGCCTGCACAACCCCCTACATCTGACATGGTCAACGCGGCTATCAAGAACCTGAAGGAGCGTGGAGGTTCCAGCCTGCAGGCCATCAAAAAAACATCGCTGCCAACTACAAGGTAGACGCTGAGAAGTTGGCCGTTTATCCGCAAGTACCTAAAGTCTGCAGTGGCAGCCGGCACTCTCACCCAGCCGAAAGGCAAGGGCGCGTCCGGATCATTCAAGCTCTCTGTCAAGGGAGAAGGCAAGACTGCGTCTGCAAGCAAGAAGTCAGCAATAAAGCCCGCTGTTGCCAAGCCGAAAGGAGAGAAGAAACCTAAGGTGACCGCTGCGAAGAAAACACCCAAGAAGGCAGCCGCAGCCAAACCCAAGGCCGCTAAACCAGCCAAATCTCCTAAGGCGAAGAAGGTCTCCAAGCCACCGACCAAGAAGCCGACATCTCCAAATTCGGTATTCAGCATTCCAAACAATCATTACTTTTTGAAACAGTTACTTACAAATAATTTACAAACGGCTGGCAATTATATTCTAACAAACCTTTTCTTATAATTTGCATATCCACAAAGTAGATTTTTGTGTGCTTCTAAAATTTTCCAGTTGTCTGAGTTTGTGAAACCAGGTTTACATGTATTTCAGATTAGAGATCCCGTGTTATAGACTGCTGCACATTTTTTTATTGTAAGTTAGGTAGGCTATCCGTGTTCGTGTGTAGGCCTAAGTTATTAAATGTTGTAGCCTACTTTTGTGTAGGCCTATTGATGACGTCAATGGGTGCAAAGAATTTTACCTAAGACGATAAAAATTTGTTTCAAAATTAGTCTCCCGAGCGCCAAGACTAAGTTAAATTATAATTGACGATGTAAAGTCCCTATGTAGGCTACCGTACCTAAAGTTAAAACCTCTTTATATTGTCATTGGCCTAACTCAAATCATTCCTGGAGGCAATGCAGTGATGAATATATTTTCACACCTCTCTGCAATTATCAAGTAATTGTGATATTTCCAGTGGCATAACTAGTGTGACTGCGCCCCAATGCAAGTATTCCCTGTGCGCCTATTAGTACTCATTCTCGCCCCCCCCCCCCACAACACCTTCAACGAAACTAACGACCACATTTCTCTATACTTCCAAACTTCCTTTTGCTTTTGGTTGTGTTGTAGGTTAGTAGTAAAATTTCCACATAAAATCCCCGTCAGGCAACTTAAAAATCAACTTTGTGTCCCGTCTTTCTCCAACTTATTGGCAATACAATGGGACCGGAGGGCTACGTTCCAAGCAGTGCTGCTATCTGTGGGTGTTTAGCGAACTACTTCAACTCTTGTTATAAAGCAGGACATCACCGCACGTTATTTGCTAACTTATTCGTCATTCCGAAATATGAAAGACAATCACCCGGCAATCGGGTTTGTACGACGCTGCGGGCTGCGCCGCACTGGGGCTACGCCTGCCATTTGATGGGCCGCAGCGAACGTGTTAACTGAAATAAGGATCACATTATATAGGTACTTATTAATTATTGTACATTTTAGGACAATAAAGTATAGACTAGGTTACTTCTTACTTTTACTTAATATTTTCTATACCGGTATTATTCAGTGCCCTATGCATGATATCGCTAAGATAGCCTACAATATAATGTTTATGTTCCGTTTCTCAAAATTAGATCAATTTTACTAGATGATGCATTCTTACAGTCTTCAAAGAGCTGCCTACGGCACAGTGACAACACTGAACGCTAATTCCTATTCCCCGACAAAGCCCCTACTGCTCTTTGTTTCTAGGAACTGTCTTGCTAACTTTTCTACATCTAAAGACCGAGCTCTTTCATGTTCAATGCTAATCAAACTAAGATCACACAGTCTAGTATTGGGCATAGAATTCTTTAAGTACGGTAGGCCTAGGCCTAGTTCATTTATTATTTTTATAGTTAGAAAAAGACCTTTCACTACTTGCAACAGTTAGGCCTACAGGTAATGTAAGAAACATTATAAATAGCCTACTGTACATAAGTTTGGCACACTTGATGCAATAAACTTACCTATTCCTAATCAATAGGTAGATAGATAATCAGTCAACTGGCTGATTTTGCTTTATTTTATTACTTTTGATAACATCTTTGACTACATTACTATAAAGCAAATTACTTCATTGACCAAAGCATAAACAACGATAAATAAACAAGAGCAATCTATCCTTGTGATAAGAACTTGATAAGCACAGATGTGCACAGCGCTGAGAAGATAACGAAAATAAGTTAGCCTAGTTAACCTTTCGATGCTAGAATATTTTTTGTAATTTTCCAAAAAATGCTAGAGTTATTTACTTATTTCGTCCAAAAAGTGCTAAGGAATGATATATCGGGCCTCGATCATACCTTATGAGGAATCGAAAGAAAACATTGCTGTTTCGAAACTACAACCAAGTAAACTGATACCAGTAGGCCTATAGTACTCATTTAAACCCACATGATCGAAAGTCGCGCAGGCAAGATATCGTCGCTTAGCGCCTTTCGGATCAAATGCGAACAACGATACGGTATAGCCTATCGTTCCATAGCACTTTTGGGGAAAAAGACACACCAACGATCGTTGCAGAGCACTGAAAGGGTTAACAAAAGAGTAACCAACATTCTGTTATGACTGTAACGTAATAAAGTACCGGTAGGCTTCCCGTACCACGAATATTTTTTTTACATTTATTTTCGGTACAGTAAGCTACAGGAAGATTTGCTTCAACATTTTCACAAAATTGTTCTAGAATATCAGTTTTGGCCCTCCAATATCTTAGACCTCCAAGTGTCCATAGTAATGGTATTAATGTCCGCCCATTTATTGCGCAATCACAGGGTTTTATTAAAATGTGGAACTTAGAAACTATCTTAGGTACCTAAGTTATCTTAAGTTAGAAACTTTTTAAAAAACACTCTTAAGTACCGGAATACTGTTTTATCTATCATTTTGTTTGGGAAATTATGGGCTTCAATTTAAGGTATAAAACATTACAAAAAAATTTGCAACAACTTTTGTGGGGTTAACATTTCTCAACAATTATAAATTAAATGGAAAAAAATTATGTTTTTGCGCTCAATAAATTTATGTTTGCACTCGGAGGGTTAAAGGCTTGCGACCCCTAAAGGCCTAAGTAGTACCTCAATGCACCTCATTGCATTGGCGTTAGCTAACTTACGCCACTGATTTACTTAAGGTTACTTTTAGCATAAACAACCAAATGAATGTTTCTTCCAGGTTTGTCCATTTTCCACAAAAGGCAAGCAGATTTAACTTATTTTCATCCAAATATCTGAAAGATTATCAACACGGTTAATAGGTTGCCTACCACAGTCGATCACATAATAGCTAATGAATGGCCAATAATTTAAGACAATTGAACAAGGCCTAAGTTATCATGCACTTAAGTTTATATTCAGTCTAGGCCTAGGCCTAGATTTCTAACTGAGCCTCCTAAACTAACTTAGTTAAGTTAAAAACACTCACTAACCTGGTCTCCTTGCAAAGAGAAACTTATAGCTTCACTTTGAAGATATTTTAAATCAATTGGAGAATTATGTATTAGATCATTAGACTGTGTAGGCCTACCAAGCATTGTAGGATCACCTTCCATTTTCTATGAAGTGAAGATTATGACCTAAGTTAAGATCACAAAAAAACTAATGAATGTCCAACTGATTTAAAGATATGAACATTGTAAGCACATCTCTCTGTTGCATCACAGCACTCTAATTTTTAAATTGAAATAATTGTCCAATTAATTAGGTCCACAACACAACATAAAAATGTTTCAATTTTCTTCTTTATGCTTTTATGCAGCTAACACACACTGTCACTGTTACACTAGGCTAGCCTATCATGTTTTACCTTTACTATTAATTATTTATCGTCACAAAATTTACAACTACAACCTATCAAATTGAGATATTGCGTAAGGTATAGATAGATTATACCATTGACTTTAGATACTACAAAGAACAATGTTTGTTTTTGTTTTATGGTTGTGTGTGATGTCACTTGGACTTGAAACTTTAGGTTAGTATTTGAATTAGACTGGGGGGGGGGGGAAACCAGATTACAATAATACCGTTTTTTTTTGTACGCTAGTTATTCCTGGCTGAAACAAACACCATGAAATTTAAACTGCAATTTTCCCGGCTCAACAATATTGACGATTAACAAAGAAGAAGAAAGAAGGGACATGTCGGTAAAAATGCATATAAATCAGAATGCGACCAGTTTCAGTTTCATCATTCCTTTTGCACAGTGACAGTCTTGGAGTCTAAGCTTGAGCTTGAGAGTCGACTCTTGCTTGAGTTTCGATTCGACTCTCGATCTAGCGAAACTAGCATGAGCTAATTGAGCTTACTAGATAACATACTACATACTATAACCGTTATTAGTATATGTTTTTATGTATATGTTTTGTTATAGTAGTATGTTTTCTGTGCTAGAGTGTAATGCTGTAATAGAAATAGCCGGCTTACCACATGATGTCGTGAGTGCCCTAAGTGAAATTCGGTGTTTTTTTTATTGATAAAATTGTTTCTTTACCTTGCAATATCCTAGTTCGATGTTGGTAGATAAACTACATGTTTCGTGGCGACAGCCACATCCTCAGGTTTATCCTCCCCTCAGATTCGTCATAAACTTAAAAGAACGTCGCGGTGCGTGCATGATGTCTTTTACCTGTGTTCTATGTATTTTATCTTTCGTGTGTGAGCTCCCGTCCCTCCCCTCAGGCTAGCAACACCCCTTTATTGCATGTCAATCACACAAAATGACACATAGTGAGCCAAACCTTAGACAAAGTTCTGAACTCCTCAGGGTGTCCGCCCCAGGGGCCAGTCCCCGGTTCAATGGGGATATATATATTTTTTATAGCTACTCTACATTTGGTTCTCCTGGTAATTTTTAGCTTTTAGAACACCTTGATCTTGCAGGCAGTATTTTGCTTCACCAAAATTCTTCAAATTTCCCTACTTTTAAATTCTGGAGCCTTTGTCACTAAATAAAAAGTTACATGCAGGACTATGAATCGTCACAGTCTACTCACTTTAAATTACAACGGGCATTCTTTCTGGCATTCAACCTTATTTACCTTTTTAATCCTACCTCCTGCTTCCCTTCATCTGAAGCCAGACTTATCAGATTCAAAAGAAAAAACTTAATCTTGTGTCTGCCATTATTTCAGCAGTTTGCTATTATTTTGACTATAGATACATTGATTGTGAATAGCTTGCTATACAAATTAATGAATTGTTGGGTTATAGAATTTCTTTGGCGGTTTGGTAAATTGCAAATAGGGCAATAATCTTAAGGAGAGCACTAGTATTATTAAAAATGCTTACACTAACTCAAACTAGTTCAGAATATTAGGCGATTTAAAGGGAAGTTCCCCCACTACTTCATTTGCTCAATTCATTTTGTTGACCTTATACCAAACCCTCAGCTGTTGAGCTTTTGTTTTAAATGTAGGATCAAGTGGAGGGGATAGATTCCTTCCCCTACAACCACCTAAATTTTGTAAAAGAAGTATAGCATTCAATTTTATTATTGACTTTTGGATGGAAGTAGACAACCCATCTATATGGACCAGCGACCAGCTGTTGCCAATTTTTTAATAAAACACAGATCACAGTTCTGAGTAAGTGACAGGTTGCGCTAGTGCTTAAATTATTTTTTCTACTTCCTTTTACTGATGCTACAGCTTAGAATAAGTCGTCTAAAATCAACAGAAATCACTGATTTAAATCAGCGCAATCTGTTGGTGGCTCACTTCAACTACAGTACGCAAAAAAACATTAACAACTTTAAAATGGGGACGGAATCTCTAGCTCTATCAATAGTTAAAGACATAATACAATCAATATCTAATACTTTATTGTCTCTGTCTTGTAATCTCACCTCCTTTAATTTGCATTGTGTATAAAGTCGGTACTGTTTATTAAAATATTTAAGTCAAACACTTAAATAACAATAGTTTAGGTACATATGCATTGGAACTTGTAATTTTATGTTTGATTTTTGAACTACCCCTGTAGATGCAATCAAGAGTCTACAAATTAATGTAATTTCTTTGGTGGTACTTCCATAGATTCTAAAAATAATTATAATATTAACTAATGAATAATACACACGTAGACCAACATGTTCATTCTAAGCCATTTTACATTATTTATAATGCACTGGTCATAAAACAAAAAAACTTTTTTTATTAACATATTTAATTTTTGTATTACTGTTTGTATTGTTGAAAGAAACACTTTATGAATTAAAATATAACTAATTTTCAACAAACTGTAAAGTTTAATCAATTTTCATCAAAAGCAAAAATGTGTTTTTATTTAACATTGTATAGACTCCGAGCTTAACTAAAGACAACAATCTTTTTATTTGTCATCAACAAAAGCTTTGAGGAATTAAACTAGAAGGTAAAAAGGTACAAAAGAAACAGAAGACCATCTATCCAAGATACAGATCTTTATTAGGATCAGTACAAACTGGACAAAACTACATTTGTTTCTTAAAAAACAAAATTAAAACAAAGTTGGAAAGCCTGCGAACAAAATCAGCGTCCCTGTCACAGCTTTCGTTTGGCTTTGGAAACAAAATGGCCTTGTAAGCCGACACTCACTCACTCGCTCACTCACACACACCACTAATAGTCTGGAGCCTACTTCCGAGTCTTCTAACATAAATATAAAAACTATTGTTGAATTACAACACAACAAAACAAACGGGAATAACAAAAAAGAACATAGATATGCTCTAAAATTTCTTTAAACAATAATTAATACAGAAGTGACTTTTTCAATCACAAATATTCACCGACCTCGATGAAGAGACGGTTCACAAAAAATCTCTTAAGCGACTCCGTCTCGGACTGCGGGAATGTTACTTTTCATTTCTCAGCTCTCGCACAAAATGGCGGTAAACCGACGATGGCGGACTATAAACATAAATACAATAAATACACACACAAACACACCTCTGTCATGGTCAGCTCAAGTGCTAACTGCTGAATACTGGTTCCACTCTACGTTAGGATCTTTGGAATATCAAGTCTTAAGTCTGTACAACATGGGATATTGCACCTGATAGACGAGGTCAATGGACAATTTGACAAGAGTAAAGCATATGGAAGACGATGTTTTACATGACCCAACAGTATCAGGTGGGATAGGCTGATAGTTCCAACAAATAATATGTACGACTAATAGGTTTCGTTCTAAATTTACACATTGCTGATTGCTTGGATCTTAACCTCATAAAATGTTATCTGCTCTTCATATACTGTTTTAAGTTTGTGTGTTATTAGAGAAGGTATCGTTATCGTTTGGTTGTTTGATTCTCCTCTCCGTTTAGTGTTGGGTCATATAAACTAGACTGATACTGCAAGTTCAAACGCTAAATGAACAATACAAGTTTTTGGTATTTAAATGTTACAAGAACTTTGATTTGACCTCGTCCGACGCTGAGAAGGCCAGTCTACGAGTAAACAGCTGTACAAAATTACGGCAAAGTATTTGCAACAACAGATGTCAAAAAACTACTCTACGTCCCTGTTTTCTTCTCACCCCGAAAATATTATACATATAAAATCTACCCTAATTTTAAGTTCGCTAATTTGAAATGCTAAATCTCAAAGCTGTTACGAGAGGGGTTGAGCCGAGAACGAAACCTTTTAAAAACTCTGCCGGAACCAGTACATCGTCCGTCCGTCCGTAACTTGACTCTCACAACACTAGCTAAGAGAACTATAGTAACGTTCTAGCCTTAAACTTTATATTACAAAACGAGGGAACGAAAAATACGACTGACTAATCTACCACGAGACACCACGACACGATTACTTACAAAAAGTCAAAATAGTTTCACTTTATCCACTTTTTACAATCCATCGAACGACCGACTCCCCGAACAAAGCTACACTACTTAAAACTAGAAATAACTCAAGTCTCGAGCGCAATTCGGATTCGGCATCTATATATATATTTTATACTATGTATATATATTCCAACATGGAATAAAAATCTTCGATAAATAAATAATATTTAAAAATAAATCTCGTCCGATCTGAATCCCGCTCGAAAACTCGTCCTTAACACTAAAATCTCTAGTCTACTCGCTAGTCTACGTCTAAACTACAGTCCTTATCTAAATCATCTTTAATCTTAAATTACTTAATACTACTTAAAACTAAAAAGTAACCCCAAACTTCTGCACTGTTTGTCGAAAATAGCGCAGTTTTCGAATAGAACCGTCTAAAACCGAAATTCTTTTGTTAAAAAAGTGTCCACCGCTAATCTAATTAAATTCCCTTGCCCTGGGCTTACGGTTGTAAGGCTTACTTATTTTACATTATTGTACAAGACATCTTCTAGCGGATGTCTGGGGAGTTCCCCTCACTATACAATATAAAAACAAAAGTATTCACAAATCAGGTCGTCAAAAGACAACATAAGAGGCGTACAACGTAAACGTACAAAAGGCGTCGCCTTTCTACCCCTGGCCGACAAAAATTATCGGCCAGCTGAAAAATCATCGTTTACAAAAATAGGTGTTACTAAGATGACAACACTCGTATCAAAATAAACAGTTTCTTCCCGCGTCGCAGTCCGCTACACCGCCGCGGCTTTTGGCACTTTTGATTCTGTACACCGAGAAACGAATACGTTGTAAACTCCCATACAAAATATATCCCTCTGTCGGAAGACCTACAGTGAACATCAGCCGTGAATCAGGAACTATTTTCCTCTCGGAAAACACATGATTGCTACGGGTCTTACTCACCGGTCTATATAAGCTTCGATATATAACATGTATAATCTAGACTACTATCTTGTGTCTCTTCAACCTTCTCCCCCTCTAGGAAACTGAAAACTGTCTTACTATTGGTGCAAGTGTGGAGGTAGTTACTACAAACAACTCTTTACATGTGATATTAAAAGAGAGTATCCAGTTAATCTAAACTTAAGCGATTGAAACACTTAAGTACTGTAATATTTGTGTACACTAGGGCCATATGGTATACACTTTTTGACTATTTTTAAAAACATGTTTTCAAATCCGACTACCAAACTACGATGCAATATAAGAGGGAAGAGCAAGCTGAATCGACGACGGTGTTCAGCCCGAGATCGCTCCATGGACACCGAAAGCGGAACATGGATTCTACACGACGAGATGGTATAAATTTATTAAAATGTAATCAATTCGACACACACGCTGTAACAGTGATAAGGCAGAAAGTTTTCCCCCTGCTTGCTTGGTCCCTGTATTGACAGATAAGTTCAAAATACTGACACTACACGCAGTTTTATAAACAGTTTCGATATAATGACATGTATACGACACAGATGGCTACAAATATAACTCTCTATGATATAGATAGTATTAGTAGGAATTAGGAAATCAATAAACTTTTCAATTTTAGATCTGCATTGAAAACTAATTTTGCTTTACTATTGACTATAAACATGGTTTTCATGGTTTGCATTTTCGTTTATACTAATCCCATAAATTTTAAATGGAAGTAGACAAATTTGGGAATAGTTAAGAATGGTTTGAAAATACTGTTATATGTATTAAATTGTGCTATTTATTAAAAAGCGGGTTTAAGAAATATTTAGTAACAGAATAAGAACATTATCTATTTTGAAAAATGTTGTGCAATTTCCGTGTCCAAATTTTTCTACAATCTCAGGAAATTATACTTATCTAATTATAACTCGTCCTTCATATTTATTTTTAAATATTAAATTTATTTACTTAATTAATTTAGCACTGAAAATATACTATATTCATAAACATTTACATTGTTATTTATCTTTTAAAATGAACAAAAACAACAAAATTTATTTTATAGTTTTAATTGTTTTTATACTTTTGTTTAAGCAGCAGTTCCCATTGACTTTAATAATACTAATATTATAATTTATAATAAGTTAATAAACTAAACTGACATCTGCATTGTCTGGGAAGCAATGTGGTTATTATAGTGCTCGTCTTTCTAACCCAAAGGTCGCTGGATTGATTAAAAGCAAAATTGTTCCCATAACCAGATACCATTTGTCATTGGGCTATTAATTAATGCTGTGTGACAAAAAGGTTGACGTTATATAGCAACAAAAAACAGGATTTGAACCATATCATAAAAAAAACTGTTAAAAATACCAATAACGTAGATAAGAACCAAGTAGCTTTCCATTATTAGTTTAGAGAATAGAGCTCTAAATGAACTTAGAAATGGTCGCTTACAAGAAGAAAGGGTGTACATATCATATTATATGTACTTAAGCCCCTTCGCCTTGTCAAAATAAATAAAACAACATGAATACTACTTCTTGTTAGTAATATAACAAAATTTGTTGATGTTTGCAGCCTCTATTCTCTAATAAAACAGGTAAAAATATTATATGTACTTTCCAGTAATTAGTTTCAATGAGTTTACACTGGGAACTGCTGAAGTTTTACACCTGATTTTTTTGGCAGATCATTAACAATACGGTTTCCTCAATATAATTTTCAAATAGAGTACAAAATGCATATTCAATCCGAAATGCACTGCGAGTATAAGGAGCGACCTCGGGCCGATGAACTAAGTGACGACATGCTACACACATACAAGATACGAGGGTAAAAGATATGGAAATACGAGTTACAATTGGAAGTTACGATTACGAGTTACAAGGCTGTGCGGCGGTGAGGCGGACGACGGCGCTTCGTATAACAATATGATAATAACAATGACAATACCATGTCAAACGGAATGACACCAACTCAACACAGCTGTGCTACTCTACCTATATAAGATATGACCAAATTTGGTATTGTGCCTTATTCACCCTCCGTCGTACACAAGTATCGACCAAACTAAAACTAACTTACGAGTAGACTGTAATTTTAGTTGAAAAGTAGTAATTGTACAGGGTTTCTTATACGGATAGCCAATTTGTTTGTTTGTTGTACTACAACTAAAGACTTTTTTCAAGGATTCACTATAAAAAAGGTTACACTTCAATATAACACAGTATATTATTTTTAAACAGTCGGAGGGTAAATAAGGTAGAAATTAAAGAAAGACAGGTTTCGCCTAGAGGTCAGTTCCTTTGGCATCAGGAAAACTAATAATAGCTATAACAAATTATAAATATTTCAAAAATCAACAACTCGTCACATTCAAAATACAAAATACCTGCTTACAGATTAGAGCCGAATACAAAACCATACAACTAGATCGAGCTGGGGTCGGAAAGTGAGGATCTAGCCTATAATTTCCATGTTCGTGTGATATGTATAGTCGAATACTGTATACTGTCTGCGAATCAGAAACGGAAAAAGGTGGGAAATGAAGGTGAACACAAGTTAAAAGCGTCTATTCCGCAAAACCGCTAGAACCAACCTCTATGTAACAGAACGACATTGAGCGCTTCCATGGCAACTAGCAATGGCTTCAACTTTTAACAATAAATTTATAAATATAATTTATAAATAAATTAATATATTATCATCTTTCACATATACTTTTAAAATAACCTTTATAACAATGGCGTGTCCGATATATATTGCACTACTCTCTCCCGAGGAAAACATACGAGTCACAGAAAATTTACCTGGTAAATTTGATCATCTCCGTATAAATAACTTGTATAATTTAGCACCATCTTAAAAAATATACGTACATTTGTATATGAAATGTATCGAACGCGTTTTTACTCGTGAAACTACAGTGAGTGTGCCAAGTTTTGCAAAAGGGCGAGCGACTTTCAAAATGTTACTCGAAAAATGTTAACCACAATTCGACCTGGAATCCGCCTAGCTTCTCACTGGTTTATTGTCATGCTTCCATCTACTTGAGCCGAAGACTGCTTGGCACACGTAACCTGTCACTATACAAGCTCGATTTGAAATTTTCAACAATCTACACTAAAGTATAATTTTGTTAGTAATGACTAGTATCCTGAAATCATTCTTGTTTGTAGTTAATGAGGCTCAGTCCAGTTGTGTGAACATCCGAGGCTATTCTAGTTTGGTTCTCATCTGAAAAATTACAAATCATCTTCACTTTAGTTTATGCAATGTTCAATGATTGTTGGAAAACAGAAATAGTACAAAACAACGCATAAAAACAAACAGTGTAATGTGTTGTTTACTACACAACAATTGAAACAAATTTTAGTTTTTCTAAATTTACTATTGTAGAGATTTATAATGAGATTGATTGTTTTTCGATTGCTTAGTCTAAAACTCAAGCTTCAATATTAATCTTACAAAAAGTGTAGATTTTAGTTGAGTAGTCTGCTATTGATTATTTCTTTGGTAAAGTTGAAAGAACACATTTTAAAATCTATATTATTGCTGAATCTGGGATTACTTCCAATGCCCGAATAGTCCAAAAAACAGTTGATTTATTTAGTCAGACTCATAAGAAGTCTTTTACGTTTCAGAATTTAGTATCAAAACTGGGTTTAAAGTGAAAAAGTACCTAAATAATAACAAAATTACTGTAGTATACAAAACCAGCCAAAGCTGGAAAAACAAAAAATCCCACATTGAGAACTAAATGAGATTTCAAATCAAAACCCAGAAAACTTTTTCGTTTAACATTGCTATCGTATATGTCCACAACCATTCCTCAATACCTTATTACTTACTCGGGTGATTACTTGGGTGGCGGGTAAGTGGTGTACGCCTCCTCGGGTGACGCCGTATTGGAGTTGTGTTCATTGTCGGGTAAAGGGAGCGGTGCCGTGTGTATGATGGACGGCGCAGGGTAGAACGAGTACGGCGTGGCACTAGCCAGGTACTGAAAAATCACAAGACATTTGATTCATATTATTTGCCTCCTGGGTTAAAAATTGATAATAAATAGGTTAGGTTACGTTATAATTGTAAATCCTATTGTTTTTCAAACGATTATAATTTCAAGGCCTGTTACCTTATAGTGAAATCTTCTATTTTCTTTTTCTGCCAAACACTTGTCAATGTCAATGTATAAAATAAATAAATACATGAGTTACTAGTAATACTCAGCGAGACAACAGTTTAATGTTTTATCACCTGAGGCGTGGCTGTCAGCTGCAGTGCGTGCATCTGAGTTGTCAATTGAGGAATCATGGAGGTGTATTGAACACTAGGGTCCTGGGCAGCCATCATCTGCAGCACACCGTGATTCTGGACAAACAAGTCATATTGATACAGAGGAAAACATGAGGACACAGTGTAAATGTTCATGAAAAACGCTAGGGCCGGCATTGACTACCTTGAAATTGACAGGGGAGGTTGAGTGCTATAATTCCAAGAATTGTTGCTAGGATTCAAGAGTGATATATAAGATACCCATGTTTAATCTTCAGTAACATTTTTAATCTGCGAGAAAATAAAAACCCAGAATAAAATATTAGTCCCTCACAAACTGTTGGTCAGACTCACCCCGAAAATACCGAATACCACAGACTAACAATCACAAATCTTTGTTGAAGTTTAGTTAGCAAACAATAACCTGACTTAAAGTGATCAACAGTAAGTAGAGAATGCAATACTTACTTCACTGACCTGAGGAGGAGCGTGCATGACGTACTGCATGGGCCAGTGTGCCGGACTGTGGAGAGGGTAGGTAGACAGGGGTTGACTGGCGTATCTGTTGTAGGCCGCAGGGATCATGTGTTGGGCTGCGACGCCGTTCTGGGTCAAACACGACGGGTCGTAAGTCAACTGACCGCCCTGCGCACACAGCGCCTGCACCACAAACAATTAATGAGGAACACAAAAACAGAATTGGAGGATTTTTATATAAGCACTGTCAGCTGCATATTATTGTAAAGTTGTCTTCTTGTTCTAAAACCTGAACCAGTGGCTTGTCCAAATTGAAAAATTCAGAACTATTAGAGTACAAATTTGAATAAATACACTATAAACCGAAAATTCTGTTTGTAGTGCAGTTTGTTATGGGAGTGAAAAACCAGCTTCCACATGTTTACAAACTTTCCATAAACCGAGTGGTAACAATTTTTCCTAGCACCGTGTCAGGGTTATATTGTCATATTGAACTGTTACCTGCACCCGGTGGTAGAAAAATGTGTTCACCAAATTGAGTCTGACAGTTCTTATGCCTTCTGTTTGCACAAGCACACCAGCTTCTTTTACTACTGTACATCTTTTTGATTGGGTTTTCAGTGGCTCAACATACTGCACTAAATTGTTCTTCTAAATATAATGATGGAGAAGAGCAATAACATCTTTACAAATTGAACGATCCCTGTCGAACAGGTTATTTTTTCCTTACAACGCTATGGAGAAATCAAATTCTACGTTAGAATAGTTTTTAGCCATCTAAATGAAATGGATCAAAGCGAGAGAGAATCTACCACTGTAACTACTACTTTTTTGCTCTTTTTCAACGTCATCAGAATTTTTGGTGAGAAACGGTCCACACCCTGGTCTAGTTACTATAAAGATGAGTTATATTAGCACCACACACAAATTTGGCCCCTCTTTCATACCCTCTATAGTCTGGAGCAATTACTGAACAACTTTTATGAATAAAGTCAAAATGCTGGACACATTCTAGACAACTCCAACATCGAACTTTTGTTAGATAGCTACTGATAGTCCAATGATAAGGTCCAGAATCGATAATACTTTTCTACCACACTAAAATTATACTTTTGTACAAATTTGATCTGCGATTAAGCGACTCCCTTTACCTCGGTAGCGTCTCTCCACATGCGGTTCTCGTTGCGGAACGGACTTCGTTTCTTCTGTCCTCCATCGGCAAACTTGACCAGCAGCGGTTCCTTGGATCCCTGCAGCGTCTGGTTGTTGAACAGGTTGATGATCTGCTCACACTTCTCCTTGGACTCCATCCTGCAACAGCCAAACATGTGTTGAAACCAGCTGGGAGTGTGTCTATAGTTGTGGCAGTCTCTAGCATTGACTCACCAAGACAGAGAATTGTTATTAAAAAAAGAACATATTTGATAGAGCAGCTCACAGAAAGCGCTGCTATCAAATTTGATTTTCTTATATAGGTTTTGTTACTGTTATAGTTGATATGACATATACAAGGGATTTTTCAAGAAGGGAAAAGAGTTCAGCTAGCTTACCTGAGAAACTTACAAGTCCAACTTAGCCACCTGGCTTTACTTTAAAATGTAACACTTATTGTTGTTAACAGCTAAACAATAGTAATAGTCTTAGAAACTACTGACCAAGAGAGAAATGGGAATTAAAAATAACCAATAGAACGACTGGCTGAACCGGACAAGGAAGTTTAGGTATTAGGCGACTTAAAATAGTCTAAAAGCCAAGATTATGAGATTCATGCTGTCGTATCCTCCATCACTTCCTGTTGGCCACACCAGACCACACATGCTAAATTAGACAACTCGAGTTACCTCATTTTCAAATTTGAATTTTTTATGACGGTTTTATCTAACAGGGGTTTCAGTTATACAAGATGCTGGAGGTTTTACTGTAGTTCCACATTCTAACAATAGCAAAACATACATCGTACAGCAACTCACCTGGCAAAACCGACACCTTTACTGACGCCGTCGGGGTCACGCAGTATCCTAGTGCTGACTACCTGTCCATACTTGTTCAACAGACCGTCCAGGTCCGTCTCCTTGAAGTGAGCCGGCAAGTTGGCGATGTAGAGGTTCGTAGGGTCTTGTTCCTGCTGCTGTAATGTTGTACAGATAGGTTAGGCAACACTGAACAATCCGACCGATCGACCTCTGTGCTCTCACACTCTGACATTGGGGGACGTTAGACGTTACTGTTCTTTGTTAGAAGTTACTAGTGCTAATAATGTACTAAAGTTACTAGTAATCAGTGGTCGATTTGTGGGGGAGTTCCGGTACCTCTCTGTCGGAAAGATAAAAATATTGGCAAAGTTAGGTACAAATCACATTAAATAGGTTGCGGTTCCGGCACCTCATTTTTTACAAATCGAACACTGCTAGTAATAGTTGTATTCAGTACTAGTGAAGGTTAGGTTTTGTGTTATTTGAGGAATTTATTACACTGGTGATGAAAAATGTCCGCATATTCTCTCAATCAACAAGATTATTAATACATTGAAAGAAGGAATGGTTACACAACTAACTTACCTAAGAAAATAGTTTCAGGTACAGTAGCTGAAAGCACACCAAAAATTTACAACACAACAACTTGATATTTTGCCCTTAAAAGGGGCTCCTTCAGAGCAAGAAGTTAAACTATATTCCGTTCAACATAATTTTTTCTGAAGAATTCCCTTGTAGGGGCAAAATACCAAGTTGATTGTGTTGTGTATTTTTTAAATACCAGGAACTTATTTCTTAAGTAAATTAGTTGTGTATCCATATCCATTTCTTAATGTATTCCTAGGCCAAGTGCTCTTTCCTAAAAAAAAATAACAATAATAACCTGTTAGATTGAATTGATTTGAATTGCACACGAGTGTTATACAAAAAGATTATTTAGGTATCCACCCATTGTCAGAGTGTGAGAGACAAAAGAGAAATAAAATTAAACTAAATAATACGGTAGCTCAAAAGAACTTCTTAAGTAGCTTATTACTATTTCCTACGAAGAGTAAACTTTCTATAAATTGAAAATGTGAAAACGTCAATATTTAGATAAATAACTGGAAGAAATCCTGACATCCCTATGGTGACTGAGAAATAAGCACCATACGATTATAAATACTAGAATACATTATATGAACATTTAAATTGACTGGAAATGTGTACTGTTTAGAACTTGGGTTAATTTATTTTAGATCTTGTATGTTGATTGTGAACCACAAAACATGAGTTGTGTAAAGTTGTAAAGAAGTCACAACAGATTTTAAAGAAAAACAAAACATTTATATTGTAAGTATGAAATATTGTTGAATAAAGTGATGTGAGAAATTAACAAAACTGGAATTGTATGGATGTAACTTGACCTAAAGCTTTAAAATAATTTAAATTTTCTTAAAAACAATCTATACTTAAGTATCTAATTGCCAAATTATCTTACATTTGTCTACTTCTATGGCTATACAATCGATTTATTCGCATCTACTCTGACTACATTACTTGTTGCCCTACTCTTCGTAAGTTACTACGTTACCCTACGCTACTGACGAGCGAAAATCACATTACTAACTGACAATCGTATAATTTGTATATTATACACTAGGTCCTCTTTACCAAACCATATTTGAATTTTGAGATACAATGTTAAAATACAGTATACATTCTAATCCCGTAGATTTTACTGTTTCCGAAAGTTTTGATTGGTGAAGCCCCAGGCCCAAAGTGTGGATTTAGCACTAACCACTTAGGTTGACGGAGTTGACAGTAGAAGAACGAAGGTGACTAGACAAAGAGTTAGAAGTTGGAAAGATGAGATTAAAAAGATTGATATGAATGGGATCTGAGTATGGAGGGAGAAAAAAATGTCTTGTTGACACCCAGACCTGGGAATATCTAAAACCGAGATATATATGAATGAGTGTACTCAACTGATTAAACCATAAAATGTTAAAAAAATTAATGTACATCATGCTCATATGCAATAAATTTTGTTGTTTAAACAGTTATAATAAAGTGTATTTCCTTATTTGCCATTTGTTAATGTTAATTTTTAAGTCTTTGGCATTACAGTGAACTATCAAAAAACTTAGAAAAAGTTGCCAAGTTTCTATTTTAAAACAAGGTGTTTGGACATAGGTAACATTTCTGTTGGAAATTTTTGTCTGGTTTATTTTATTTAAGATTCCCTTTTTAAGTTGTTAGAAACACTTTTCTTTCAGAAGTTCAGAATTTTTTAGATCCATATTTCAGATCAATATGAAGTATTATAATTTATTACTAAATAGACATGTCTCGGTTGGATAATGTGTAAAATTTTGTTTCAAAAGCTTCAGAAAAATAAACTGGCATAAAAAAATTGAAATTTGTTTTAAAAAATAGCCAGCATAACATTTTAAAAAGGCACAGTATCAGGTCACCATGCCTGGTTTGTTTTTGAAAGGATAAAATGCAGTCTCTTAAAACTTACAGTTACCAGTTGAGTTTTAGGTCAATTATCGTCTCCATTGCAAGCAATGAAAAAGATTTAAAAAATTCAATTTTGTTAAAGGTAATTTAGAAAAGAAACAAAAACAAAATATGGTTTGGTATGTAAGCACTGACTATTTTAGTAGTGTGCTGTCACTGCCTAAATATGCAACTACAAAGCATTTAGTTTAAACAGATCTTTGCCTTGATTGCTAGGAAATTAAACGCAAATATACAAAGCCTTTAGGATGAAGTTGTAGCTGAAACGTAATGATTTACCAAGCTCAAAATGGTGACAAATTCAGTTCAAAACCGAATCAATCGAAGAATTTGAATACAATTCTGCTTTGTAAAATACAAATTTAAAAAAAAAATTATTATAATATAAAATTTGAATCCACATGGCTCTGAAAGGCCAATGCAAAAAAACACGTCAAGCAAAGCAAAAATACCTATAGTTTTAGAATGAACTACTGATAAATTTTAAGTAGTAACGAGACACAAACCCATGTTGTTATAGCACTGGATTCTATCCGTCAGACAATCAAGTCAAGCCAACGAAACTACCAATTTTGATTTTATAAATTTGCAAGAAGACAAAGACCTGCAGACAGTTTGCAGAAGAAACGATACGCCGGATGCCATGCTAAACTACATTGGCGCAATACCCAACTAACTACGCTACCCAACTTACATAGTCCCCGACATAGCTAAACACTTCTACATCACGAACAACTGTACACTAAACACGTCAGGTTAACAGTTAGACAATTATAAACCACGTTATTGTACAATATAATGTTAGGAAGAATTGTTAACTTATTCTACGAGTTATGAGAGTAATACAGTGGAACCTCGATAACAAGTGTTATTTTTGAATAACCTTGATTTTGTAATGCCATAACCACATGTTATTGTAAACCTTGATTAGAAGTATTCTTTGATTTTATACATAAGAGACTTGCTATCGAGGTTCTATTGTAATCGAGATACCATTGGTATCCAGAATAAAATTACGGCTAGTAAGATAGTTTTAGTAAAATTTATCAACTTGTCACTTATCGTAAAGTTATTTTTGACAATCAATGATACATTATCTAAGCTGAGTTGCGTATTTACCATAGATAATTTTAAAACACTGGGACAACTTATTTTTATAACTAGATTTTATAACTCTTTTGAATTTCAAATTGGCAAACTGGAAAAAAATCTGATATTACAGGATTGACGAAGTCCTAAAAAAAATATTTTTGTACAGCATATCATAGAAAGTTTAGTTGTGGGAGGAATTTAATTGTCTTATCAAATCTAGACAATTCCTCGTCCTCTGTTAACAATCAAAAACATTTTACCATTTTCTAGGAAACTAATTTGTTATACAATTTCAACAGAAACTATACAATTGGTAATTACGTAATCAATAAAAAATAATCACTGTTCCCAGCTTTATCGATGGCGTGCCGATTCGTATTCAAAGTTCACAATCCTCTGTGGATAGATTTATTATTTCTCCATGGTGACAAACTCATTATGGTCCAAACTGTGTGACCTTGACTGCCTTATCACTCGTTATCAGTCGAGAGTGACTTTTTATAATGATGAGGAGGAAACACAGATTATCACTGAACCCCTGACACTATCAAATTTCAAGAGGCACAATCAAAGACTTCTTTTGACCCGAGCTGACTTATTTTCCAACAGTTAAGCCCTTTAAGGCCAATAATGGAATGTTTTGATAAGTTTAAATATAAGTCAAATATAGCCTATACACAAACTCTGTTTCCCTTAAAATCTTGCCTACATGTTGATTTTAATAAAAATGGAATTTACAAACCTAACGATTTTCTAATTCAAGAAAAGTAGCGGGATATTGAACCAATTTAATTCCCGAAACAATATTCTTCGGGTTTTAAAAGTCATCATTCAAATACTGCTGGCAAAGAATTTGTTGAAGACAAAGATAAATGCTCAAGACAATTTGATTTTATATATTTTTTACAGAGAGTGATTTAAACTCTTCTTCCCATGTACTATCCTTTGACTATTAATACAACAACTTCTGTATCCAATAGTCAATGCTATCACCCTGGGAAATGTCAATACTGCCTCAATATGAATAGGAACTTCAGAGTAATCAACCGTAAAATAAGACTAACATACAAGTAATAAGTAACAACAAAGATCAAATGTCCTTAAAAAACTTACAGACTATGGTAAAATACCGATTAAAGACTTAACAGTAATTTAAAGTTTTAACAACTATGCATTACATCAGCAATTCTCAAAAGCAAGAAGGTAAACCCAAAGAGGTATAAATTTGGACTTATAAAGAACTTTCTGCTAAATCTTAAAACGGTTGTGAAAATATTAAAACTGTACAGCATTGCTGTTTAAGTTAACACAGTATTTTTTTTTTTATTTAAGGTAATTGTCTTATCTCCCAAACTTGCTTTTGGGAACCTCTCCAATATTCAGTGAAACCTCACTAACTCGATAATTTGTGGACCCAGAGGTTGACGAATTACCCAGAACATTGAAAATTTCAATGGGTTTTGATAATGAATACGTAAAAGACTAATTTTTACATATAAATTTTACTTATATGAGTATTTTTACATATTGGGTAAACAATATCCAAAGAAATTTTAAATAATCATTATTTAAAACTAAATGTTCTGAAAAAATTGCTTTTTTTGTCCGCACCCTATCAGCTGTTGACCGTCGAGTTACCGGATGTTGAGTTAGTGATGTTTTACTGTACATTATTAATACAATTGAGTGTTTCACACAAGAATTGTTTAAGTGTAACATGAATTTTAAGGTTGTTTAAGGTGTAATATGAATACATTGCTGGTAAATGACTTCCAAATCAGCAAGGAGAAATATCCTTGAGTGAAAATTAAGCTTGATCTATCATAAATGTTGTAATGTAAATTACTACAGTAGAGAATCCTATCATCCTATAGTTCTTTGTCTGAGTTTTTGACTACTAACACAATATTATTTATTTCAATGCTCTTTAAGCAAGACTTTTCGATAGGTAAAGAGGTTATTTTAATATTTTTATTGAAAGGACTTTTTGATTGGACAAATAATTAAACCTATGAGAAAAGTTAGGTTTCAAAAACCTTAAATAATACCCTTAGATTAAATGTTGCACAAAATGCTTTCAAAAATTATATGATTATACGATGTGTCAATGCTACCATGTACATTCTTGCTGAGCGCCAGCGATTAGAGCATGGAGGCATTACATTTATATAAACAATTAAAACTCACAGTGATTTAATCAGCTGTTTTTTTTTTTTTTTTTTTTGGCTACAGATTCAATCCATCTCCGCTGGTTAAAACGTTTAATAAACTAAAAATAAGTTTGGAGTATTCTCGGCACTTTCGCATGCTCAAAACCAAAAGCAAATTTAGACGCAACACTAATCGTAACATAACTCAATAAAATAAAATAACAAAAACAATAATTGGCTCACCAAGAATGCATTAGTAGCAAAACAAACATATCACGTTCCATATAACTGTTGAAACCAACTACAGAAATCAACTGAGGAGAATTCAGAAGAATTCCAATAAAAATTCAGTAGAATTCAAAAGCGCCTTCACAATATCACTTTAGTCACTTATCACAAAAGTTGCATATTCATATCACATTAACATGTATTACATGTAGCCCATTAATCTAATGATGAAAATATCCATCTATGAGTGTCTAGCGTTAAAACTTAACACAGTTTCTCTTCGTAAATCATAAATTACCCACAAGCACATTGACCCAACACAACCCCACACGGTGACATGACAATGTAAATCTAACAGACATGTTGAAGAAAAGATAAAGACCTATGAAGAAACCCCGTTACGGTAAACTCTTTCCAGAGTAGAAACTTCAATACAAGATGGAAGACGGTTTAGCAGCCAGAGGCAAAAACTGAAGCGACAATCATGTGAGTGGTAAATCAATGGTTAAACCAGTCAATAACTGTAACCTAATTCAAATAATTGAAAAAGTAGTGACACACTGTTTTGTGGAAATAAATCTTTCCGTTACGTAGGTATTGAATTTCACCCCTGGCTGCTGTAATAGTACAGACCGGCAAGTTTCTAGCCTATGCTACAGACAGGAACAGAAGTATACTACTTATACCATAAGTCTACAGAAAACACCCAGTCCTGTCACACATTTAGAACAAAATTCCATGACTATTTTATAAGAGATTTTTAGAAATTTTTTGTTATTAGGGAAAAAAAACAGGTGTGTTTGAATGAGCGAGTTAAACTTTTGAACATGAAAAACAACAAATATGTTAATTTTTTTTTTAAAATTAAAAAATTGCCTTCAAAATTTTTTTAAAATTATATATTAATGTATGAAAAAAGTTATTAAACCAACAAAAATTAAAACACACAAGACAAATTTTTCACTGATCAAGATAAAAAAAAACACTACTCTATGATAAAAAATCATAAAAATTGGTTTGAATCCGAAATTTACTAATCGCTTTACTCAATTGTCAACTAAATTTGAGGCGTATGACAGAACTGGGGCGGAAGTGTATTAGAGAAATACTTGCATGCACACACGTACAGGTGCGGACGCGCGCGGTTGCGTGATACCCACTTTGGCCATCTGAGCCTGAATGCCCTTGGCCTGTAGGGCCTTGACGGCAGCCTCGGCGCAAACGTGCGACTCAAAGTCCACAAACCCATAACCTGCAACAGAGAAAAAGGTTCAGCGTAAGTGGCAGTAGGAAATCCACTTTAGTAGAACCTCGACAACAAGTCTGATGGGGATGGCCAAATAAGACTTGTTATCAAGGTTGACTTCTTATCAAGGTTTGCAATAACATGTAATTAAGGGAATTAAATCAATGGTATTTGAAAATAACTCTTGTTATCTAGGGCCACTTGTTATCGAAGGTCTTCTCATTGAAGTCCACTGTATCACAGAAAACATACTACTATAACCCAGAATGCCAACTGCGTGGTAAAAAGCATTAAGTGTTTTGAGAGAGCTTTGCCTGTCAATTGGTAGGCAGCGCCACCAGCGTTGCTATGCTGAGTGCATGGCAACGCTGGTGGCGCTGCCTACGATTGAAAAGGCAAAGCTCTCTCAAAACACTTAATGCTTTTTACCACGCAGTTGGCATTCTGGGTTATAGTAGTATGTTTTCTGTGACTGTATCTAGATTAGCAGTGTGTGTCTAGCAGAGATACCTGTAATAGTTCAGTTCTGGACATCTTATGGTGAACCAATGGTTGGGTCCGTGTTTTAAGCCGGGTATTGTTCACCGGAGCTGCGGCCGGTCCTTTATCACTGACAATCGACTAAATTCACACCAAAAAGGACTAGGTAGCACAAGCAACAAGTAATATTCTTGAATATTACCTTCTGTATCCAATAGCTTTGACTATTAATCAATAGTCAATCATATTACTGTAAAACTATAAATAAAACAACACTATATTAGAGTTTCTCTTAAAATTTCTGTTATTTTCATACATAATTTCATGCAAATTGGCCAACGTTTACATATTTAATCATTGCAAATAATAGTATGTAAAATGTTAAAGCTTTGTGAAAAATTTGGTCTCTAACAGGGATTTTTAGATACATCACATTATCACATTGTTTTAGTTGTATTTTTAGCATTAAAGACAATTTACTAGATAGCTATCGGTCTTCCCAGTTCCCTTTAGTGAACTCAGTCGAGCAGCAGTAATAAAGAACTGATCGCAATGCCCAGCTAAGACACAGACCCATTTCTTCATTCACCACAGGATGTCTAGAACTATAATATGTCTAGAAAACCCTGTTTAAGGTTAAGTTGAGGCAGGCTTCTGACCAAGTAGAATAGGACAATGGCTAGGCCGACCCTGTGAGTAAATCCCTTTGGTCATGCCTCACTGAATACTCCACTTTAAGGGGAAATATTTAGACTTAACTGTTGAAACTTAATGCATATTTTTTTCAATTCCAATACTTAACTTGACATATTTACAAGGTGCAATTGTTTATTTTATTGCTTAAAATACAGTTAATCATCCTTTTTATAGGTAACAAATAAATATAGGAAGGACACACAATTGATTGCCTCATGATCACTTACAATATTCTCAGATAACAAATTGATCGTATTTTCAAATTATTCTTAAAGTTTCCACCCCGCCTTCAGTGAGGGTTAACAAGCTTATTAGGATTAGCTCGCAGGGTTAGCCAAGCCTTTTTCACCCTTTTCTACTGCTTTGACCAATTAACCTTCGTCATCTTAACCATAGATAAGGACTATAAGTTTATTGTACATTTGTGATTTCAGTCCACAGTAGCCTACATAATAGTAATGATTTTTCAGCTACAATTTAATTTCTGGTGTGAAACTGAAAACCCCCTGAGAGGAATCAACAGATATTGCATAATCTCAAAAATATATATAAAGAATATAATGTGAATATAAAACTATATTCACAGTCAACAAAACCACTGACTTCAGAAAACTCCCAACATTTATACAATTTTTCTTTTTTTTACATTCAATTTCTTTACCATTTACACCAGCTTGGTTAAACAATCTTCTGAGTAATCATTACTCCAAGTCAACAGACCTAATCAACGAACCAGTTGTGTAAATAGCGACTGTAAACTTTGCCCAACTGTGGGACACTATTGTTTGCTGTGTTGTGACAAAAATGGCTGATATTAATTTCCGACGCATCATAATTGCAAGTTTTAGAAAGCAAGATTTTTTTACTCTGATAGAGACAGTTAAATTCCTTTTAATAAGGGGTTGACAGAATTTTTAAAGTTGAATGTGTCCATCCGCATGGGCCAAAGGCCGAATGAACTTAACAGACAAGGTGTGAGCCGGTGTACAGTATAGTATAGGCATGATAAATTTAGTGCCTGCATCTAGACGTTAAACTACAAAATGACTGCTAAAGATTTGTCTATCTTGTCAAATGAGCCATTGACTGACCAATAGAATACAACAGGGGAATCTTGGATCAGGTTTGTTCATCGTGGTGGTAATAAATGACAGTTTTATTTTCATAATTTAGACCATTAGGTCTGAACTTTCTGTAGCCAAATTCCCTATCCTTTCCTTCTTCAGCATTAAGAAGTGATTGTAAATTCTATGTTGTCAAAGGCAATTTGAGTTTGAGTTTCAAAAGCATGTAAAACGATTCAGTAATTCCACGATTTCAAAATTTAACATTTTAACTGTGCAAATAATGTTTGAAATCTGGTACACCTTTTTTAGTAGGTGTTTTTAAAATTTGTTTGAAAAAACACATAAAATATAATAGATTTGTATCAAGATAATCATGCATGAATAGAAAATAAAGAAGAAAATCAACAGTAGACTCTCAACAACACTCATAAACCCTTCTGCTACTGACGTTGAACACATCTTATACAATGCAGTTAAAGTTTACAAGAAGGTATGTAAATGGCAAGATTCTGATAAACAAATGTACAGTGTAATTTACATTTTAGCAAAGTAAATATGTGCTGATCTGGCGTGCAACTATTTGCTACAATCAATTTACCGGCATCTAAGTGATTTGGTTTTACCAAATAATTCAAAGTATATCGTCAGGTGTCGGTCAGATTTGAAGGCAGTTATACGAGGTTGGGGCATACATAAAATGTACTTTTTGACTATATTTTAGAGGTATTTTCTCGAGCTATATTCATACGGCACTGAGTAATCCGTTTTATGTGTTAATACTGTAGACTGTTAATATAGGCACAGTTTGATAACAAAATAATGTGATATGCATTGTTTGCCATTACCCTTATAGTTTGTACAATATAAATAAGTCTGTCTCTGATAAATGTGTCTGAAATTTTGTTGAGAGCCTACTGTAACTGTACTGAAGTCTAATTCCCAAAATACCACTTCCTACCTACATGCAATCATAGTGTTTTTCTTACAGTAGTTTTGATTACTACAATCACTCTGAACATAGCTTGATTCTTTACTCAATAAGCATGCAATTATTGAAACTGAAGTTGATATCCCATTGATTTGGACCAGATTTAGCCAGGTATTGATGAGAGCTCACGAGTCACGATCGTACGACTTTCACGAGCACAGAAGCATTGTGATTATGATTTTTTTACCAGAATACAAGACGTAAAATGAGAACTTTTTCTGGCAATTATTCCAAATCTCAATCCAATACAAAAGTTTACTGATATGCAAAATCAAGGTCACATTGAGCAAGGTCACTTTTACATCATTTTTGGGATGGTGACAGAAAAAAAAAATCAATTTTTTACACACATTGAAAAATGCAGAAATTGGGATATCTACTTCATCATACATTATTTTTGCATGCCTGTCTAGATAAACTTCATTGACATTTTCAAGTCATCTCCGTAACAATACCTCGAACCGTTCTAACTTACTTTGCTTACTCACTAAATATCTGTCACAGTCAGAGGAAGATGTCAACATAACCTCTACGCAAATACCATCTACGCACTAACGTGGCACCAACAAGCTACAGCTGAATTACGCTATGTGCAAAACTCACCCCTACATTTATTGGTCGTTTTGTCCAGAATGGCCTTCGTCGATATAATCTGTCCGAATCTGAAACAGAAAACAATGGTTTATCATATGGTCTATGGTCAAATGGTTTCTTAGTAGGAATTATAGAGAAGGAAAGTACACCGTAACCGGCTTTTAAATTCCATTTTGGCATGTAAAAGAAATAGGCTATGTTATGCTTTTAAAATTGATTGATGGAGGAGAGGTCATTTTTCCAAACCCCCTAAACATGAAGTTTGGAATTTTGTTTCTTTCTTGATAAATGTCCAGTGGATGCCCTTACATGGGGGTAAGAAATAGCGGGTAATTTTGTCATTGAGAAAACTCAGCTTTAAACATTTTAAGATAAAGTTGAATTACTTGACCATTTAGACCCTGGGTGGACTATTTACAAATATTTAAATTTGCAGTAAAACTCCAAACATATGAATCAATTGTACCACATTCGGTTGATCAAAATTCGGAACTATCTCGATTCTTTTGCCGATCCGAGTTTAGCCTAAAGCCCAAGTGATAGAGCACCAGGTGAAAGAGAGCTCAATCTGTGCTTTTACTACAACAACGCATCTACAAAGATGTTGTTGTAAAAAAATTCACACTTTTGCCATAATAGTGGGAGATATTTAAGATTTTGTACAATTTATGGAGATGTAGATGTACTTTCTGTGACCGTGGGTTACAATGATGATGTGATATGTTTAGGATTTCAACGCAATCCAGGCTTCTGCCTTCTTTAATTCTGTAAAAGATTTGGATATGTAAAGAGTTTGCATCATTGGATTTCTACTGAAGGTATGGTATACTCACGGTAAGCACATGTTGACCAAGTCCTTGTCCGTAGTGTTCTGCGTGAGTCCGCGGATGTACAGGTTAGTCTTGCTCAGCTGCTGAGGCTGGTCTCGGTCCTGCTGATGGCCCGATGTGTTGTTGGAGTTGCTGAGACTAGTGCTGATAGTGCCACTCTGGCTGCCTGTATTGCTGCTGCTGCTGCTGTTGGTGTTGGCTGGAGAAGCTGCTGTAGGTACTCTCTGGATGTACTGAAACACCACAAGCAACATTATTAGATCAGCACAGAGTTGTTGTGCAATTACAGTACAGCTATTTGACCTGTCGTACTACCCGACCTTCTCCATGGACTAACAAATACCTTCATAACGCAAGACAGCCATATCAGACAACTCCTTTCGCCGCACTGAGCTAGAGATACAACTGGAGGTAGCACTGAAAGAAATCGCCTTAGCTGCCATTTGTACCTTTCTTTGCGACGTTTACAACAGTGAAGTAAAGTACAGAAAAACTTGCTTAACAGTGCGCTTTAAGCTTTGAGCTCTAATTTGTTGTGGTGGAAATATACTTGAGACATGCAAGAAGAGCACTGTGTGGAAATTCCTATTGCACAGAGTCTTCCTCCGTGTGGTACTAGACACTTTGTCCTAGACACCAGCAACTTTAACTAGTGCTAAACACCTTTTAAGTCTTTACTTACAAAAAGTAATTCTAAAACCATAAACTGTAGCGCCAAACCGTGAATTTGTATCCAAACCCAAGCCATACTCAACACAAAATAAATCAAATTAAATAATACAGATGTCTTTATTATTTTAGTTCATATTTTTTGTAAATTTGTTGTAGGGTTGTTTGTGTATTTGTTGTACATTATATTTATCAATATTGTTTAATTCATTCACTGAATCTCGGCCAAGTCAATTAGGTAATGTCCTGAAAGTCATCTCAATCCTGAACATGGTAGTGAGGATGACTTAACATTACCTGTTGTTTACCATGTTAAGCCAAGGCCATAGCGGACATCTGAATTATTCTACTGCAAGGACTAAACATCATTCTGTCGATTAATTATCAAGCTTACCAACTGCCCTTCACTGCTGTTTACCGAGGCGATTTAAAAACAAATTTGTAATACTTGTGTTTCAACATCTAGGCGTGATTGATTAAAAAGTGTGAATCTTAAAGATGAGATGTAACTTTATGAAATTCCTTTAACCCTTAAGTTGTGGGCTAAACATAGTCTCTAATACATTTATCACCCTGATTAATCGGCTTAAGAGTGTTTGACGGTTAACCCTAACCAGTTTGAAGATGAGGTGTTGTTCACTATTTTAATTTAACAAAATATTTTGGCAAAATAGTAATCCACCAATAAACTATTGTTTGCCGTCTGCTATCACAGCAAAATCCCCAAGATTTTGTCCCCGGCCTTTAACGTCTCAGATTGAACTTTTAGACATATCCTAAAAACTAAGAAGTTATCTAAAATAATGTACCTATGTAATTTTTACGTCTCCATCATAGAATAAATGTGTGGAAAGAAAGAAATTAAATTCAATACTAGCTTACTCTTTGAGAAAGTAATTATCTTTGATTAAAAAAATAGTCACAGCCGATCCATAAACGTATGGTTGTTGCGTTGTTGCGTACACGATTTTACGATTGTCACCAACAATCTTTACCACGACAAGTTATAAAAAACATAACATGTTCACACTATAAAAGAGTCATAAACTAGCACACTTTCTACAAAACGCCCATTGAACAACATTCTAAAAACTGGCTCCAGCTGATATATGTTTCACTACCCTAAAGTCAATGATATAGCCGACCATTCAAGAGCCTAATTCACCACAAACAAGGCGACAATGTACCCAGATGTTCCCTGTTTATAAGTGACACTGAATGTGCAGCACATGAAATCTCTATTGAATTCAACATTGAGGGGGAGAATCAACAAAGGGTATTGAGCCAGGCTTTCTTTACCGCTACTGCCCTTTTTGAAACTGAACAATACTCGGTAACTCTTATTAAAAGTTAAATCCTTCATGTTACTAAATAAGGTAGGTAGGCTACTTTATATTGTTGAGTTCCAAACTTAGTTTGATAGTTCATCACTATGCTAAATATGTCATCGATGTTGTAGTATTCTATATTTTTTTAAGAGGTTGGCTGTCTCTTTTAACCTTTCATTTGCCCGTCCACATAGACTACAGATCTGTGCGTGGAACGTATCCAGCAAAGCAAGGGGTGAGCCGGTACAGTACGAAGGTGAACTGTACTGATGTTTGTGGCAGTGACCAGGATCCGAACCCTAGAACATCACTGCCTTGGGCCCGAAGTCCGTCACGCTACCAACTGAGCCACCGACTCACCAAATTGTTTAACAAATTCTACACCGATCAATTTGAGCCTATAATAATCAAAGAGCGAAATTACATGGTATTATTCATCGATACTTATTTGCTATTTTTTTTTCTTTTAATCAAAACACTTGGTTTGGTCCCATAAGTGTCATAGAGTACCAACAGGCAAAATGTTATGGTAACAAATTGCGATAACACTCAACAAATTATTCCTGTTTGAAAATAATTAATGTTATCCGACATAATTACTTACAAAAAGCATTAGGGTGTGGTCAGCCTTGAGTAATCCCATATCAACACAATCAAATGCTGATATAGCATTTGAATAGTCAACAAAAATTGCATATAAAAGACGTACTTAAAATAATCATTTACAATTACATTAAGTTTTGAATTTACTCTTAAGAAACTTGTGAATAGTTAGATTTTTTGTAGTTTGATGAAATATACAAGCCAATTTATATTCAGTTAACATCCTATTTAAAATTTGTGACAAAAAGTATTTTTTGGGGTAGAGTTGCTTCTTTTTTCTTATTTATTTGAGCTGTTCAGTTGTTTACAATGGGACAAGTCACTAAAACGAACAAAAACTGAGCAATTCAAAATTCATAATTCCAACAGCATCAATAATAGTCAACACAACTCCTCAATCAAACTCCACAAACAATATCTGTCCTTCAATCAGCAAAAAACAACAACAACATTTTCTAAATAAATCATATCAGAGTGGAAAAACACTGCGCATTATTTAGATAAAATACTCAGGACAACCGACACAAATATTTTAATATTTTGAAGACAAGTGGAGCGTTGAAGTAGTATGAGACATTGTTGGTTATCTCTAAAACAGCTGATTGTCAAAAGTCATATGACCATGACTATCACTGCATTACTCACTCTCCAGCCAAAGCTGTAGCGATGAGAAACAAGGTAAAAACAATTATTGAAAGTGTCATCTTTAGTTTATAGACAAAAAATGTTACAAAATGTCTATGTTAGAACTACAGTAGTAGTTTTTCTAGGTTGACTATTTTTATCGAATAATTTACTTGTGATTGAATTAATTAGGCTAGGCCTACTTAAAAGTTCTAATAGGCTATCTCAAAAAAGATAAAAATCAAATTTACACAATTAATTTAATTAAATTAACTACATTGATTACTGCAGTAAACATAAAACTAACCTTTCTTCTAACCCGTCTTGTGTTTGCCATTGTCACTAGATACGTCCAGCAGCACCGACGGACTGGTGCAACAATACGCACCGTACTCGCTCGACGCTCCTGATTGGTCAACCGGCGGCCAATGAGAGCGCGTCATTCTGAGTCACTGTACAACCAGCTGATTGCCGACCACTTTGAGGTTATGTTTTGCAGCGCTGATTGTTGCATATGCGCAATTGCACGTACTGCATTGCTTAAAAGGGAGGCTGTGCGATCTGTTTCTTTGTGTCTTTGTTTAAGCTGTGTATTATTTCGTTTCGGCTGTTGAACTAATCGATTCCATAATTGTTCGTACCCTGTCACAAGTAATTTTGATTTTAATTGGACACAATAACTGGAAAAATACAAAGCCTATAAATTATTTTCGTCTCAAAAAATGTGTTGAAGCTGCTAATTTTGTTCAAAAGTACTTGGGAATATGTAGAATAAAATCATTTTAATATTTTTGACGAATCAACCTTGCATGACGACACATATTTCTATTCCCAGCTCTTCAAACATAAAACTTAATACAATATATATATATATATATATATATATATATATTTTTAACGCAATCGCTCTAATTTTTATTTTAACCCACTTACAGAATTGTCACTATTACCTTATGCAATTTTATATTTACATTGTCCCTAATCCACATAGGCCCTACTGGCCGATGGTCTTTACACGTTTACCAGTAATTAGAATATTTATATAGTTTTTCTTTCTGCTTCAAATACACGTTCTTGTGATATATCAACGATGAGCTAAAACACTGCCGATACTCGCGAGAATAACCTTCGTAAAGACCGACAAACTGTACAGCATGTGTAAATACCAATCAATCAAAAACCACTAAAATAGCCACGGCGTGACATCTCAGCTACATAGATAACATTCAAGATGACGATTCGAGGTCGACATCGACATCAATGTCGCCGATGCTTTGTTGACGCAACAGCATCCATAAAGCAGCTGTGTGCAGCAAACAACCAACAACCTGTGGTGTAACTGTGCTAATACTCTGCAAGAATGCGTTCAATGGTGTGGTTTATGTTCATTTGCGTACGACGCAAGTCTTGTAAAAATGTGGGTCGATAATTAAAGTTTTTAATTTCAGTATAAATCCTCTGATCATGTAAATTCAGCAAATCAATCTGTGAATAGCATTTTGCGCGCCAAATGACGTGCTGCAACACAAAACGTACCTTTAATATTTTTTCTAATAATTCAAGCACTATTTGAATGAGAAAACTCGAATTAGTTCCAAGTATTTTCTACATGGCCTCTTTTAAGAGGTAATTGTTCTTGTAATAGGTGCCCACACGTAAAATTTTAAAATCGATATCTTATTTGATAGATTTTCCCTCCTAAATCCAAATATGTCATTATTTTTAACGCAATTGAATATTACTAAGTGATATCACCCTTCACTTAAAAAACGAATTTTCCATGTTACCCAAACCAACACAGACGAACACCTAAAGCGATATATGATAAAAAATCAATTAAATCAGTTAACGCAAAGGCAATAATTAAAATAAAGTTATGGTTTTAGTAGTATGTTTTCTGTGCCCAGTACTGCATGGTCTATGGCGTGTTGTAGTCAAAAAATGACTGAGACAAAATCTGGGTAGTCTAAAGACAAGGTTGTATCAGTTTTTTTTACCAAGACCGTTTA